TATAACAAAAATAGATAAATAAATATGTTAGTTTCCTTCTATATTTTATATTGGGGTATAAAAATGTGAGAATGGGGTTTTGGCACAAATTGAGTTGTTAGTGTATGTAAATTCAGTATTGAGACATCGTGCTGAGATCTTTTGATTTTATCTACTGATCTCAGAATATGCACAAAAGTGTTCAAGGCATAAATCATATTAGGCTTCAGCTTCCTTATTGTCGGTAATTCAAAATTCTTATAATACTATCCCTCCAAAGCCTTCTGACATGATCAAAATGAATTAGATCATAACTTTCCAATCAAAATCCAAATAATTAAATAGGAAGAAATGATAGATCATCTTTTACTAAATAATAAGACCTATTACATTTCTATGAGACATAAATACACAAGCTTTCTATAAGAATAAAATATAAAATAAAGCATAAACAATGAGCAGTGACTGTGGAAAGGCTTGGGGAATTTACTCCCTCTCAGATGATCTTGTTCTTATATCTGATTCCGTACACTAATTGGAGAAGGGTAAGGCCCACAATTACAATATGCATTTCCGGAACTACAGGCAGTGAAGTAAGATTTCATCTACCTGTATCTTCCGTTACTCTAAGCTTGATGTTTATAAGAATTTCAACATATAATATGAATTGATTCTTAAAAATCACATGCAGATAGATTTGGGGTGTCAAAGTCAAATAAATTAAGAATTATCTAAACTCACAGCCAACATATCTGCCTTCTTAGGAGCAACACTGAAAAAATAACATTTTTCTAACCAAATGAACATGGAATCAAGGAGCAAGTAAAGTCTAGGAGACCTAGGAAGACCTGCCTTAACAAAGCTACATAAACTTTTTGTCAAAATATACAAATATCTTAAAATTCATAATGGGACTTAATTGATTATTTAATATCTATTATGACAACTACAAAAATTAACTCAAGTATGTCCAAGACTAAGGCCTATCTACTTCACATAGTGAGGCTTTCAACATATACAATGTTACAAAAATTTTTATCCATCCCAGGAAGACAGGCAAGGCTCTCTACATAAGACGGACTGCACATTATGTTCGATCATTTTCTAATAAACCATCAAGTATACTACCTTAGCTAAATCACATGGTTGCTATCCACTTGACATCATTTTAAACGCTCAGAGTATTCAATTTCAAATTATTTGCTAAAAAACTTCCTTGAAATCACCTACCAAAGTTATTGCTAGCCTGAAACTATATACACTAAAAATTATTTTATTACCTTCTTTAAGTGCTGTTTTCTACCAAGGTAAATCATTCGAAAACTACATCTTTAAATTGATATATTTAAAATGTGCATTCATAATATTATTATAAAATATTATATCATTAACTTGTCATCAAGGGTCAGTATAAGAAATAACCAGGCTAGGCATGATGGCTCACTCCTGTAATCCTAGCACTCTGGACAGTTATTGAAGCTAGATATTCCTTACAACACTAGTGTTAATTTTTTAAGGTTGATTTCCTACTTTTATTTTCAAAAGATAAACACTGTAGTAA